TAATTAAGTAATGGTGTTCACTGTTGGGCCCCAATCTTAAACCTGGTGTTATGATCTGCAGTCTTAATTCAACTCTGCCACTCGGCTCTATATTTTACTAATGTTTGAAATAATCTACTCCTGTCATATGGAGACATGTTATTTGAGTTAAATTTTTTATTTTCATATTTTGTTGTCCAATTCTTTTATTTACCAGTGAGGAAACAGGTCTAGGAAGGTTAAATTCACACAGCTCTACAGGGGCACAGCTAAGACTCTTCTCGAAAGAGTGGGTTATCTCAGAGAACAGTGTGGTTACCACACACCAGCTCCCTCCCCTGGACAGACAACTAGGAACCAAAAAGTGTCACCAACATAGCATGGAAGGACAGCCAGGATCAGCAAGGAGTAGACAAAGCTGAGGTCCTGTAAGCAAGCAAGGGTAACCCAGAGATCATTCAGGAAAAACATAAATTAACGCTCTCACACTTCACTATGCATAAGAATCAATAGGGGTCTCCTTACAAAGATCTACCTCAGGGAGCCTGGCTCAGTTATTCTGGGTGGGGCCAGAGAAGGGGCATTTTTAACTAACCACTAAGGTGATTTTCATGTGAGTAGTTAGAGGGCATCTGCTGGGAATCACTAAGCACCAAGGTAGAAAATTGCAGTTGGGTTTCAGAAACAGCCTTTTGGCCTCTGGAAAGTGAAGACTGGTGAGCTGGTTATGGGTCTATACCTGTAGAGCAGAAGGTCAGAACACAGGGGAGAAAAACACAAAGCTCACCTGGCAGGACTAAGTAAATTTGTAATTTATAATTGAAAGATGGATAGCAGCCAAATTGACTCAACTGTACTTCTTCTTTAAGTTCTAATCATCTGGGGCAAAGAGGCTTTTTTAAAACTATACTCTCCTTGTGGCCCAGATCTGTAACAGGCAAGGAATATAGTGGTAGTGTTTGTTATTTTAAAATTTGCAAATAATTTTTTAATACAAATCTTTTCATTTGAACTTTCTAGTACCATGTGAAGTGGATAGAATAGGTGATATAAGCTCTGCTTTACTGTTAATGCCCAAGTTCACCAAGGGAGCAGAACGGAGACTAAGGACCACATTTTCTAAATCCTGGTTCTGTATAGTGGAAGCAGAAAAATGTGGGGTAGACCGAGCTTTAGAATCAAGCAGACCTGGATGGAATGTGACCTTGAACAACTTATTTACCTTCTCTGAATTTCAATTTTCTCATCTGTAAAATGCAGATAATAGTACCTTCCTCCTGGGGTTGTTAAATGAGATAACTTTTAAAATATATCTAACACATAGTTGCTGAGTAAATGTGCCATCTCAAGGATAAATAGGAAAAAAAAAGAGCTTAAGAAAATGAGAATTTAGCATATGGGACACATACCAAAGTTGGGATCTGATTCTAATTAATGAGTAGAATATTGATGGAATTTTGAGCTTGTGGGTTGCCTAGCAACCAAAACTAACTCAATACCACTGGCTACCAGAGTTGTTGTTTTTAATCAAAGCAGTAATTAAACTGCTCTTAAGAAGCTCAAGGTCGTAAGCAGACAAAAGGATTCCCCTGTGAATTTGGAGTTGTGCCAGACATTTTGAAAAAGTGATGCCCCAACTCTTCAGAGTGTTTGTGCTGAAATATCTCAGATGTTGGCATCTTCCTCACTTCTGCACCCCTGGGAGACAGAAAATGTTAGGACATCCCATGATAAAGAGGGATGGAGAAGGCAGAGTGCTTGCCTTCCTATCCCAGAGTATTCAATCAACATTCATGGAGTGCCAGGGGTCAGGCATACTAGAACATTTTTCTTTGCCCTTGCTGCCCTTTAGAATTTCAGCATCAAAGGGAGGAATCAGTCAATGTTTAACAATACAGCAGATTATTTCATGAGTGGTTGTGTCTCCAGTATTCTGAGCATTATGGAATGAGAAGTACAGCAGGTATAGCAGGTCTTAAATATTCACTGTTCGGGTTTTTATTTTCTTGGCAAACCAGTCCTTCCCACTTGGGTTTCCCAACACATTTGTACTACTTGACTCGGAGCCTTATTGAGAGGCGACTTGGCCTGTTGGAAAGTTGACTGGAAGGGGACCTGTGCTCCAGACCTCAAGTGTGACTTTTACCTGAAGGCAGTGACTTCACAGATCTGTGCCCTGCTTTTCTCATTTGTAGCCTGGGCATTATGGTTCTGATTCTGCCTCCTTCGGTCAATGGGAGTGATGCAATGAGATAATAAATATAAAAGTTTTGAATAGATAAATGCAATGTCTGAGCTAATTTGATCAATTTGTCACGGGGTTTTATATTGCCTATCACGGAACATCCTTTATCTTCTACATTTTTCGATTCCTTTTATGATTCACAGTCTTACAACTTAAAGAGGGGAAAAATTAAAAAGCCTAGGAGCTGGGAACTATTGTGTTAATTTGCACTGAATTTTGTCTCCATCATTTGTAGCTCAGTGCACTCACTTCTTTTGCAGGGATGGCCAACTTTATTGCTTAGGGAAGAAATACACTGGGCCACTGGGGCATTTCAGCATTTATTTATGCACAAACATGACTTAAGGCCTAAGGGCCTTTAAGGCAGGCAGCTGGTTGATGAATCATCTTCAACATTCACATAGCGCTGCTGGCACATATCAGAGGAATGCTTCTGCTCATCACCTGCCCCTGTCAGTTCTTCCTTCTCCAATAAAGTACATCTGTTTTGGTGACTGAATAAAAACACACCAAGTGGAGAAAGGCTGGTGGAGTAATTTAATCAGGCAAGTCAGCACGCTTGAGCAATAGTGTCAAGGATAGAAAGATGTCTGGTCACAGCTTAATGAAACAGAAGTAGACAGGGAAGGAAGCACAGTTCCTCTTATAATCATACAGGGTCACATTTCTGGAATGTAGGGGACCCAATATCTCCGACCCATCAAGATTTTTAAGGGGGCAAGATTCCTGTAAGTATCCTTCTGAATCGCTGCAAACATTTCCCATAGCCTTTCTCTGTTAGCATCAGTTTAACATTTCATCGAGGATTATAAATTTTTAAGGAAGTTCAAACCAAAGTTCAGAGCTCCACTGGCCATTCTTTTTAATATTGGCTTTCCTGGCTATGTTTGGTATCCTGAAGAACTGATTGATTTAAAATACCCTAGTTTTCAAAAGTAAAACAGCAGGGACACTGACATTTGCAGACTGGTTATTTTGCAGTTCTCACTACTCATTGCGTTTTTTAAAAACTTTTCTTTGTTGTGACAATCCAGTAGTGTAGATTTTTGTATTTTGTTTAAAAGAGGAGACATCGAACATGCTCAGGATGCTGGTCTGCCTTGAATCTTATGGTCTCACAGATTGAGTAGGGCGGGGGAGAGAATAATGAGGGATCTGCAGAATGCTTGAAATGTATTTGAAAACAAGTAAAAATAAAAATATGACTGTAAGTTGTAGGTCTGAGTAATTTTTCCCTCCTCCCCTCCCTTTCTTTCTGCTTTCCTCTTCCTTTCTTTTCTGATTCACCTGGAAGTATTCTTAAGTTCATCATTTCCTGATGCAAAGAATCACTGACCAAAAAGAAAAAAACAACAACTGCAACATCAGGCGCTTCATTCTGCCTGTTTCTAGTTCTGTTGGTGAGGACAGGGCCCCTTTTTACTCCAAGGAAGTCATTTCACCTCTACTCGGTACTCTACTTCCCTCCCTCTGTCACACGCCCCTGTGGACAGGATCTGTGCTATCTGATACTCCAATGACAAGTGTTCTAGAAATTTATTTCAGAAATAAAATGCTAAATATAGCACACAAGTTCAAGACTTTTGAATGTTTCTGTGTTTTTAAAAAGTCAATCTAATGAATGCTTTACACTGAAACCGTTTACTGTTAGGAAATCTGGTGGCAAATAATACATATATCCTGCAGTTCTGTCATCATGGCTAATTCTTTCCTGACTCAGATCACATATTAGCATTTTTACCATATGGCTGAAAGGGTAGAGAATATATGTGTGAGAAGCAGAGTCGGAAACATTTTTGACCATCTGGTAAATAAATGTGTAAGTAGCAGAAGTATTAATATTTATTTAGTTATATGGATGCAACCTTTAACCTGAAATAACCACTAATACAGCAAAATAATACTAAATTTATATTTCTGAAATAATTTCAATCTAATTTACTAAATATTTTCAATTATGTGTTCTAAAAATCTGAGTCCTCATTTTGTGTTTTTTATGATGATTGACTTAGTAGGGCTCCTACTATACAGTGCCAAATTTAAAACATCTTTTGGGAGAAGCTACATGATGACATCCAACACATGGGCACCAGTGCTAAAGTTCTGCTCTGCCACTGACCGCTGTGTAGTCTCAGATAAATTACACGTTCTCTCTGAGCTTCAAGTTTTTCATGTCTAAAGAGTAAAAAAACAGCATCAGACAGCATCCCTCAAAGGGCCATGGAGGGGGCTGGGGTTGTGACTCAGTGGTAGAGAGCTTGCCTAGCATGCATGAGGCACTGGGTTTGGTCCCCAGCACGACATTAAAAAAAAAAAAAAAAAACTAAATAAACAAAATAAAGGTATTTGTGTCAATCTATAATTAAAAATATTTTTAAGGGGGTGGGGCATGGAGGACCCTGTATTCATGCATCAGAATCACATAGGGAGGTTGTTCAAAATACAGACACCTGGGCCCCACCCTCAGCAATTCTGCACGTCTGGAGGCAGTCTGTGATTTTAGTCCCAAGTGATTCTGAGTAGATTGAACAACTGCTATCGCTACAAGCTGATTACAGAGCACTTAGCTACACTGAAAAATATGAGGCTAATTCTAATAAATAAATTTTTATATGATAAAAATTTAATTAACACTTAGCGGCATTTGTGCTTAAAATATTCTAACTCTGTAGAAAACAGGAGGTCAACTTACATAAGTAGTGCTGTTGATTCATTAAATATAGTACCTCTCCATTCTTTTTAATTAGATCTTTTATCCTTTTTTCTCTTGCACAGAAAATAGCAAAGTATTCGTGGATTAGGTCTAAATCAGGAGCCCACATGAACTTGAAGAAACTAACCTGGGATTCTTAGTTTTTCAAGATCCACACCCACCTAACCTTAATCACTGTCAGCTCCAGTGTCCAGGCTCCCTCTGGTTTTGTGAAGACTCTGATAATGGAAAAGCAAAGGACTTAATTTCTTGCTTCAGTATCATCTAAAGTCAACTGAAAAGTGAACCAGCCAAAGCACAGCCATGGAAAAGAATTCAAGTTTATGGAAGAACCTGATAGATGAACATCCAGTCTGCACAACCTGGAAGCAAGAGGCCGAAGGAGCCATTTATCATCTTGCCAGTATTTTATTTGTAGTAGGTTTCATGGGTGGCAGTGGATTCTTTGGGCTCCTTTATGTCTTCAGTTTGCTGGGGCTGGGTTTTCTATGCTCCGCGGTCTGGGCATGGGTAGATGTCTGTGCTGCCGACATATTTTCCTGGAATTTTGTACTGTTTGTCATCTGCTTCATGCAATTTGTTCATATTGCATATCAAGTTCGCAGCATAACCTTTGCCCGAGAATTCCAGGTGTTGTACAGCTCCCTTTTCCAGCCCCTGGGGATCTCTTTGCCCGTCTTCAGAACGATTGCTTTGAGCTCTGAAGTGGTTACTTTGGAAAAGGAGCACTGTTATGCCATGCAGGGGAAAACCTCCATTGATAAACTCTCCCTGCTTGTTTCAGGAAGGTTTGTACCCTTGGTGCTTGCATGTCTTTCCTCTGTATGAATTATCTATCTGTGTTTCTTTGCACTACATTTCTCCATTGTAGCATAGTCCTGGGTGGCATTTTGCACCCAGATGCTTGGGAAAGTCTTTTGAGATGTGAAGCCTAGATGTAAGCTTTGTTTATTTGAAGCAGTACGTGATCCAGAGGCTTACTCTTTCATCTTAGAAGTCAAATGATGTGAATCTTAAAAACAAAAGGATGAATATATTTATCTGAATACAATATTGGTTTCAGAGCTGATCACTGCAAGTCAAAAAGAGGATGATGCCTCCTTGAATTAATAGAATATTTATGTTTTAAAAATACTTATTTAAAGGTATTTAAATAGACTCTTTGTTAGGGTAATCTTTTAAATAACAGAGAACTTTTGTTTTTGTAATTATCTAATTTATTCGGTAAGTTCTTGCAATTGCCCACTTGTTAGAAGATAGGAGAACTTCAAGAATAAATATAGTAATATAAACTTTGAAAAACTTTGGGGAAGAAATAATAGTGTGTTTATTCATATTTGAAAAGGTTAAAACTTTAGTTTACAGAGGTATTTATGGCAGAACACCATGATGCTCTTAAATGTTCTACTTAATTTAAAATCTGACTGAGGGCATCAAAACTTGTCAACATATACTGTACACAAACAAATGGACACAAACCATAAGGGTGCAACTTGATAAACTTTCTGATGGATTTCACTCCATATTCCAGGTTCCCAAGGGAAGAACATCAGTATGTGAATTTTACAGGATATTGTGTCACTTACTGTGATGCATGAATTTTGTATTTTTCCCTTCAAAATTCTAAAGGACAAAAAGTCACCAGAGATCTGAAGCACATTTCTCCATCCTCCTACCCCCAGTGATGTGTTCTCTTTCTCCTTCCTTCAAATGTCGTTCTTATGTTTTGGTAGGATCAGAGTGACAGTTGATGGGGAGTTTCTGCACTACATTTACCCCTTCCAGTTCCTGGACTCTCCTGAGTGGGACTCACTGAGACCCACAGAGGAAGGCACTTTTCAGGTAAGGGACACAGACCACATAGTTAATGCTTCTCTCCAAACAGATAAACAGTGTCTGCTTAAAAATAAGTAAACAAACAAGTAGAACAACAGATAACACAAGAATAATTATATTTAACTTTGGGATGTACTTTGCAACCTACATGAATTCCCAATTCTGTTTGACTCCTGCTGATTAATGCCGCCTGCCATACAGGTCTAGCAACAAGGAAAATAGATGTTCCCTAAGACAGAAAGGAACCATGATAAATATTCTTTTTTTTTTTAAAGAGAGAATGAGAGAGAGAGAGAGAGAGAAGGAGAATTTTAATATTTATTTTTTAGTTATCGGCGGACACAACATCTTTGTTTGTATGTGGTGCTGGGGATCGAACCCGGGCCGCACGCATGCCAGGCGAGCGCGCTACCACTTGAGCCACATCCCCAGCCCAATGATAAATATTCTTAAGCTTTCCTTTGTATAACTGCATATTTAGGAATTAAAATATAATTAATCGAGATTTGACTATAGCCTAAAAATTGCCAGTGTGACAATTTAGAAAACAGCAAGAACAAAAAACTGCACTGATTACAAAATAAATGTTTTAAAAATTTAAGATGCTGATGAACTTGAGATATCTTCTAGCATCAAAGTGCTTATTGTTACTATTGTGCCATCACATAGCAGTAGCTTTGAAATATAATCATTTTGGTGGGTTCCATTTATTATGTTATACTTTTTTCCTATGGATTGATAATACATATGCATGCATGTAAATACAAATTAATATACATATGCAAAATAGTTATATAAATTGTATACAACAGAACTATAAATTTTGTACTACAGAAACTCAGGGTTAAATGTCTACAGTCTTCAGAATTGATGTGGATTTACTTCCCTAACAATAGACAACTTTATGTTTATAATATCAAGTAGATCTGCCTTCAATAAAATGCAAAATATAAATCCCCAAACTTGGAAAAATAGGTAAGCTGGAGATGAACACAACATTATAAATATTCATATTATAAATTATGTATATCATAATAAGTTATATGGTTTTCTTTTTCTATTTTTTACAATATATTGCGTGTTAGTGGGATTATTTTAACCTAAAGAAGACATCAAGTCAGACTCCCTCAAACTTTGGAGCAGAAAAAATGTGATTTGGTTTCTTGTTTCCTAATCTTTGTTTACATGTGGTCTTGTGTTTTTTAGGTAACCCTCACAGCAGAAACTGATTGTCGATATGTGACCTGGAGGAGAAAGAAATTATATTTGCTCTTTGCTCAGCATCGTTACATCTCCCGCCTGTTTTCGGTTTTAATTGGCAGTGACATTGCAGATAAACTCTATGCCTTGAATGACAGGGTGTATGTAGGAAAAAGATACCACTATGACATTCGGTTACCCAACTACTATCACATGTCAAGTCCACAAATGTCCCGATTGCCACTGACAGAACAGTTTCGGAATTCCAGGGAAATGGTAATGAATGACATCAAAGTCTGAAGTTTTCTAACTACTAAAAAGACTCTTCATCAATCCCCAAATGAAATAGAAAAATAAAGAAAATGAGCTCACTGATATTTTTATAAAACGAATTCAGAGGCAAGAGGCCACTACCAACTGTTTCAGTCATCTCAACTTTGTGTTGTGAATAAATTTTACAAATTGTTCTTGTATTTCTTATTGTTACCATTGGGGGAAGGCAATGCATAACTGTGGGAAGTTTGCCCTTTTCTGCATCAGAACTGGGAGAATGTAAATTGCACATTCTTCATCATCTTGCCCCGTTGACTTAGGCATTGCTTCTCAAGCAGCTGCCTGCGAGTTCTTACAGCACCACTGCAGGTTGCCAATGCCCCATAAGCATTTCCAGAATTCACTCTTTGGCTACAATCTCTGATGAAAGCAAGATGTATTACCATGGTAAGCAGCAATTATTTATTTTACATGTGAAGTTAATTGATATGCCTAAAAACTAGAATAAATGCAAAAGATAACAATATGCCAAACTTGAAGACTATTTTCTTGCTACAAATGAGTCCAAAGCTTAATCTTTATAATACCATTTAAAAAGAGGCATTACACAGGAAATAAAACTACATAATAATTACTGAATTTAAAAGACTGCCCATAGACAAATAGTGAAAATGTTGCACAGCATTTCAATTTCAAATGTTCAGCTGAAAGGTCAAGTGTCAGTGGTTTGACTAGACAAAGCCTCATGGTGAATACTCAGCCCACCACATGCCCCCAGGAGTCTGCCTTACACCATTCCTACAGTCTGGTGAAGAAGATGTTGAGAAAGAGACACATCCTTACTTGTAGCTCTGGTCTCTGTCTTTGTCTCTGGTTTTCTGAAATTGATGTGCAGGCTATTTTAATATAAAGATACACATTTAATAAGTCAGTATTGGACACTTTCTATGGCTTCAGTACAGACCTGGGCACTGAGTGTACATCCAGTAACAGATGGGATCCATTCCTCATGGAGCTTACATTCTGAGGGTGAGGGAGAAGATAATAAATCAGAAAAGCCCATGGTTAGGAAATGATAGTGCCGTAAAGAAAGATAAATCAGAGAAGGTGGATAGGAAAGAGCACTGCCATTTTACCAGAGTGTTCAAGGAAGGTGTTTCAGTCAGCTTTTTCACTGCTTTGACCAAAGGATCTTTCAAGAAAAATTAGAGGAAGAAAAGTTTATTTGAGGGCCTCACAGTTTAAGAGGTCTCAGTCCACAGACAGCTCCATTTCTCAGGGCACGAGGTAAGGCAGAACATCATGGCAAGAAGAGTGTGGTGGAGGGAAGCAGCTCAATACACCACATCAGGAAGCAGAAAAAGAGAACTGTTTAATAAGCACAAAATATATACCCCCAAAGGCACACCCCCAGGTCCCACCTCCTCCAGCCACAACCTACCTGCCTACAGTTACCATCCAGTTAATCCCTACCAGGGGATTAATTCACTGACTGGGATAAGGCTCTCATAACCCAATCATTTCACCTCTAAACCGTCTTGCATCATCTCATGAGCTTTTGGAGGACACCTCACATCTAAACCATAAGAAGGCCTTAGCAAGAAGGTAATGTCTGAACAAGGACCTGAAGGAGGCAAAGGAACATTCCATGCAGATATCTGGGGGAGAGCAATCAGGGCAGAGGGGACAGCACATGAGAAAGCCCTCAAAGCATAACAGGCTTTTTCCAGGAGTGGTTGGAAGGTAAGCAAGACGACAGCAGAGCAGACACTAGGGATTGAGAGAGAAGTAACTACAGGCATATTGGGTAAGGCCCAATAAGTCATGTAGGCATTTAGACTTCTCTTCAGAGAGTGACCAGAGCCATTGTGAAATTTGAAATAGAAGAGTGATATGATATGGCCTGGTTTATAGGAGGACTCTGGCTAGCCTGCAAAGAACTGATTGGGGACAGGGAGGGCAACAGTAGACTTGGAAAGGAAGATCAGGATTCAGAGTGAGATGTCCACTGAACATTAAAGTAGACAGGCGGCTATGAGTCCAGATTCGAGAGAAAGATCTGAGCTAGAGACACAACTTTGGAATAGTTAGCATATAGATGGTTTCTGAAGCTATAAACCCATGACATGGCCAAGGGAATAAGCCTCAATACCTGGCATCCAGCACTCTAATGCTGAGGGGATGGGAAGGTGGAGGTGGGGAAGAGTCAGCAAAGGAGATGAGAAGGAACAGCCAGTAAGACTGGAAGAACACCTGGAGAACATGGGGTCCCAGAAGCCAAATGAAGAAAGTGTTTCCAGGAGAAGGGAGTGACAAACTGTGTCAAACATGGCTGAGACTAAACCATTGGATCAAGCGACACAGAAGTCACTGGTGGACTTAGCAGCAACAGTTTTAGTGGAATGACTAGGGATGAAAACTTTAGTGAGGCAGGTTAATGAGGGAGGCAAGGCGTAGGGAGAACAAGAATAGGTATGTGTTTTAAGCAGTTCTGATGTGAAGGGAAATAGAAAGGGACAGTAATCTCAACAGGAAGTGGAGTCCAGAGAGGTATTGTTTGCTGTTTTCAAGGCAAGAAATAATGGCCTGTGGATGGGAATGACCCAAAAGTGAAGGGTGAGTGTCTGGACTGAGGACCTTGAGCAGGTGAACTGCTGATGGGATCCACTGGACTTAAACAAGACCATGGAAAATTGATCATGGTAAGAAGAGGAGGCAGAGCCCTTGGGAGTGTGGTTGTTAGCAAGGGAGAAAGGTGGTACGAGCTCATGAGAGTTCCCTAGGGATGACTTTTATTTTGTTAGTGACCTAGGAGGCACAGTCAGCGAGGGAAATGGGAGACAATGTATTGGGGTTATGTAAAGCATATTACTTTTTCTGTATGTTAGCATGCACTGTAAGTGGGACACTGTGACAAAGTCTGAATCATTAACCTGAGTGAGCTACTGAATGATTCAAGGTCAGCTTGAGCTAAGGGAACAGCTGGGATGATTTATTTTTTCCGGTCTCTGGCTACACATGGCCATCACAGGTAGCTCTTACAAGCAGACACAGTGGCAGCTATCTGCTGGTACAAAGGCTTTTATGAAGCCCACTGGCTAAACAGTGGGGCTTCACAGTGGATTTGAAGAAATTCAGATTTTTCCATCTTTAAGACTGTATGGTATTAAGTGTTAAAATAAGAGAATTCCATCTTAGTGAATACCAGGTACTAATTTAAGTATTAATTTAATAGGGCCTAATTATTAGATAACTTTCTAACCATGAAAGCCACACTGAAATGGGATATATTTTTTTGGCTTAAATTACCTGGCATGTGGAGAATGAGAAGACTTTATATACAAGTTTTCCAGAAATCTAACTATTTTTAGTATGGGGAGGAAGGAACACAAAATGGGATGAAGGGATGCTGAAAGAGGGAGGAGAGGGATGCTTGAAACCTCACAGTCTGCTTCCATGCACTCTGCCCCCCAAGGAAATCATTGTTCTGAGATTAATCTAAGAACAGATTAATTAATTAATTGAAAGTATGTCTCTGAGCCATTACAGAGTGAGGAATTTTTCTTTCCCCTTCAATAGTGGAGCAAAAGGAAATTCATTTGCCCTCTACTCATCTAGATAGTCCTGGATGTCATATTGTAACACTGCCCGTACTCAGAAGGACAGAATTGATTTGACAGAGCAGTTACAAAGTGATACTCCTAACTAAACAGACAGAAACCATAAGAAAAACAAACTAGGCAGACAGTCCATGTTATTGTAAAAGCAGTACGTTATACAATATGATCTACATGAGATGCCTGATTGAGCCAATTTATGCTCATGTATTGAGCATACATCCATACATGGCATTGGATGCTCTTCCTAATTGTGTTCCATGCTCCCCTATATTGTACACTGTTAAAGAAATTAACCTTTAGAAATGATGTCCCAAATTAATATTATATTTTATAAAACTATCTATACATATCAAAGAGATCAATGTACCAAATTAATTCCACTATTTTTTGTCATACTAAAATGTAATATATATACATATAAAATACAAATAAATATTAGTATTATATAGACCTTTTATAATAAATCAACAGTTTAATTTGATAAAATTATACATTACTTGAAGACCAAACTTCCTAAGTTATGAAAAGATGCAAAATTAAAACATTAGTTACTTTAGTTCTTAGTCATCTCACCATTAGTATTACTGTCATTTTAATAATGAATTGTACATTAGCATGTAGTATCCACATGATTTGAGCATAATTTGAAGTTTTATTATTATGCTAAGTTTGACTACTTTTAATACCTGCTAGCTATTAAAGATTCACAGGGAACTTTGAAATATGATTTTTCTTCTTAAGAACTGATTTGTGCCTTGAACTATAATTTACCCCTTTACTTTTTTATTTCAATTAAGACTTTGGTGATCTTAATAAGGGTAATTTTATTTTATTCATAGGATTCCAAAATATTTTTTTAAACATAATTTTATAGTAGGATTTTAGCTCCACTTGATACAAAACAAGATGTTTTGGGTCATCAAAACCAAAATTACTATTCATTAAATGTAAAAATTATCTCTCAAATTATAAAACACTGTTTTACATCCATTTAGTACTTCATAGTTTACAAAGCACATGCCTACACATGATTTCATTCACTTGTTTCCTGGAATCCCATTTTATGGAGAAGGATTAGAGGCTGAATCACAGAAACGGTGACACTAAAGCTTAGCTGTAAGTCATTATCCTCGCATTTTTCATGCTACAGGTTCTCCTGATTGTATTCCTGACTTGGAGAGCAGTCAAATGCCCCCAATCTGAATTGAATGAAGATTCAACGCCAAAATGCTAATTACATATCTTGGAATTTGTCAGTGATCCCATGAGGAACGTGAGCCAAATGAGAACCTGTCTTCTGAATCGTCAGCAGTTAGCTGGAGCTCAAACACAGTCTACAAGTAAACTGTGTAATCAAGTGTAATGCTATTAAAATGTCTGGAAGTTTATACAGGGAAAGAGCAGGGCCAAGTTTCATTGATACAGTTTAAATAAGTTCTTTAAATTTGAGGTCTGTCCAATTTCATTTCAGATATTTCCACAGCTTGTGTGAGATGTCTCTAGATGCTTTATGCTCCTTGTGATACAGTTTCTCTCTCTTACCTCGGGTAGAATAAAACTTCATTTCCAATGAGACTTTG